TGCAGCAACTTCCTACTAAAAATGTCTCCAGAGGCAAGGGAAACAAAAGCAAATATGAACTACTGGGAACTCATCAAGATAAAAACCTTCTGCACAGCAAAGTAAATAATCAGCAAAACTAAAAGACAATCAATGGAATAGGAGAATATATTTGCAAATGACATATCTGGTAAAGGGTTGGTATCCAAAATCTATAAAGAACTTATCAAACTCAACACCCAAAAAACAAATAATCCAATTAAGAAATGGGCAGAAGACATGAATAGAGACTTTTCCAAAGACGACATCCAGATAGTTAACAGACACATGAAAAGATGTTCAACATCATTCATCATCAGGGAAATACAAATCAAAACCATAATGAGATACCACCTCACATGTCAGAATGGCTAAAATTGAGAACTCAGGAAAAAGGTGTTGGAGAGGATGCAGAGAAAGGGGAACCCTCTTACCCTGTTGGTGGGAATGCAAATTGGTGCAGCTACTCTAGAAAACAGTGTGGAGTTTCCTCCAAAAGTTAAAAATAGAACTACCCTATTACCCAGCAATTCCACTACCTGGTATTTATCCAAAGGATACAAAAATGCTAACTCAAAGGGGCACATACACCCCAATGTTTATAGCAACACTATCAAGAGCCAAATTACGGAATCCAAATGTCCACCGACTGATGAATTGCTAAAAAAGATGTGGTATATACAATGGAATATTACTCAGCAACAAAAAAATGAAATGTTTTTCAGAGAAAGACAAATACCACATGATCTCACTCATATGTGGAATTTAAGAAACAAAACAGATAAACATAGAGGAAGGGTAGGAAAAATAAAAAGATAAAAGCAGAGGGAAGCTGAGGTACCTTGGTGGCTCAGTCAATTGAGTGTCTGACTCCTGATTTTGGCTTGGGTCATTATCTCACGGTTCATGGGTTCAAGCCCAACATCAAGCTATGTGCTGGCAGCGTGGGGCCTGCTTGGGATTCTGTCACCCTCTCTCTGCCCCTCCCCTGCTCGTGTTCTGTCCCTCAAAATAAGTAATCTTGAAAGAAAATGTTAAAAACAAACAAACAGAGGGAGGCAAACCATGAGACTCTTAAATATCGAGAACAAACTGAGGGTTGATGTAGGGACTTGGGTGGGAGATGGCCCTAAATGGGTGATGAGCATTAAAGGTACTTGCTGGGATAAACTCTGGCTGCTATATACAAGTGGTGAATCACTAAATTTTACTCCTGAAACCAATACTACACTGTATTTTAACAAACATGACTTTAAATTAAAAAAAAAATGAAGGCAATTTAGAGCATTTCTGTGAACAAATTAAAAATAAAAATTACTAATAAAAGCTTGAGAAAATTTAGTTTACCAAGAAAGAATTGACTTGTTATACTACCTAGTAACTGATGGTGTTACTGACAACTTTATATGGCTTTTGTATTTTCATATTTCATTAACTGACTTTGTCAACAGGGGTTGGTTGGTTGTTTACCTGTGTCAGGGACAGAAAGGGGGTGCACTTGTGGTGGGGAGATCATGTAGACCTGTGCTGTCCACTATGTTAGTCACTAGCCACATATGGCTATCTATCTCTTATTATTTTAAAGATTATGTTTTTCAGTAATTTCTACACCCAACGTGGGGCTCGAACTCACAACCCCAAGATCAAGAGTCACATGCTCCACTGACTTAACCGTCAGGTGCCCCCACGCTTAAGGCTATTTAAATAGTTGTAATGGCTATTTAAACTTACATCAAAAATTTAGTTTAGTTGCACTAGCCACATTTTAAGATTTCAAGAGTCCCACACATGGTTAGTGAATACCAACTATATTGGGCAGTGCAGATACAGAAATGTCTATTATTGCTGAAAGTTCTATTGGACAGAATGGACTTGAAGACTCTTGAGGTACATCATCTACAGTGGAGGTGGGGAAGGTCTAAACTGAAGCAATCACAATCACATGGAGACAACAGATCTATTGATATACTTAATGTACTACAGAGTAAAGATAGGGTGATTCATTTAGGAAGTCTTCTGTTTCTCACCCTAGGTAAACGGGTAGATGGTTCATTCACCAACAAAGTAATATAGAAGCAGGATTTAGGAAAGAGGATGAAATCAGATTTGTACTCAGTGAGAGGCAACCCTTGTACAGGTCAATGGTCTGAGAAGCTGCTGGATCTCAGAATGTGATCTGTGGGCAGTCTGGATGGAGACAGACTTCCAAGGAAAGAACAGTGGCCATGAATAGGGGCCATACACTTAGGTGAGGGCTCTGAGAAAGCAGGATGCATGAGATGGTCAGAGACTAGCATCAGAAGCCCTTGCATTTTGGGTAAGGTTTTCAAACATTAGCAGGTCATGAAATCAGCAGAATAGGTCTCCACTAGCATTAAAATATTAATATACTTTGCATATAATTTAAGTAAAGACCTTTCAGATCTTTCCCCGAAACTTTTTTTTATAAATAAATGTTACACAATGATATGTAAACTGCGTTACAAGGTAAAACATTTTTGGGTTGTAGTCCAACTAGTTTGAATGTCAACTGATTTATAAAATGAGTACCACAGACTATAAGCTACATGCAAACTGGAACAAGTGTCCTTTTCTTCATCACCTAAAATCCTGGCACATACTAGACACTTAGTAAAGACATAATGCATGAAGAGAATAAATCAACGGGCCAGAAAAATAAGAGGAAACCCAGGACAAGGGTGACTCAGAAGCTAAAGAAGGATGAGAGAGAATAAAATCCAGTATCAGATATCAGTCATTTGGTGATATTCAGAGCATGGATGACCTTGTCTGCAATTTCTGTGCATTGGCAGAAGCAGAAGCCAGACCGCAGAAGTAAATGGGAGAGGAGGAAGTAGAGATGAGATGAATGAAAGCGGAGAGACATTTGTTTTGTATTGAAGATGCGAAAGTTCAACATGTGTCTGGAAGAGATATAGGAAAAGTACACTCTAGAACTGTGCTGTCCAATGGAATCACCTATGGCTATTTGAATTAGAATTAATTTTTTTAAGTTTATTTATTTTGAGAGAGACAGAGACAGCATGAGCAGGAGGGGCAGAGAGAGGCAGAGAATCCCAAGCAGCCTGTGCACTGTCAGCACAGAGCACAATGTGGGGCTCGAACTCATGAACCATGAGATCATGACCTAAGCTGAAACCAAATCGGATGCTTAACCAACTGAGCCACCCAGATGCCCCTATTTAAATTAGAATTAAATTTTAAAATGCTGTTCCTTAATAATACTTGCTGTACTTTAAGTGCTCTATGGCCACATGTGGCTAGAGGCTGCCATATTATTCAGGGTGACAGAGAACATTTCTATCATTGCAGAAAAGTCTACATTAGAGTGCTGTTTTAGAAAAAGGTTTTAATTCATGTCTGTGCTGGCCTCAATAAAACAAGCCGGTGTACACTGCTCTCCAACCTACTCCTACTTGAAACGTTATCCAAACATTTGGATAATGCTGTAGATACTACAATCAATACATGATATTACATTTGGTCTCAGCGAGAGTTAACCCCAGGAAAGGCCAGTGGAGACATTAGGGAGGCTACTGACTTTCAGGATGTGATCTAGGGGTAGTCTGGGCATTACATATATTCATGTTGTTATCCCACCAAATACAAGAAAAATACCTGGCAACTAGAAGCAGCTCACGATTGCTAATGACAATGCACAGGGAAAAGGAGCTGTAGGACAAGGTATAAGGTTGACAGACACTGGAGCAGTACTGGATAGAAAAGGCTGGGAGAACTCAGGCTAGATTAGATAGAAGATGGTTGGGTAAAATGGGAGTCATTATAGTGAAACTCCAGTTTAAGAAAAATTAAAGTTACTAGCAGAGAACAAATAAATACATTGTTTCTGATTTCTATGTGTAATTTTCATGACTACCTTACTAACAAAAGCAATGTGATAGAAGACAGGTGTTATTATCCATAAGACCTGTCCACTTAGACACTGTTAACGGAAATCTCCAGGCTGACTCACTGAAGAAGCTACTTGTAGAAATAAAAAAATAAAATTTCAAATTTTGTGGGGAAAAAAATACTTTTAAAGGAATATACTTGGCTCTACAGAGAGAACCAAAGGGAAGAAAGGACATTCAGTTCATTTGCCTTCTCCACCTAGGATAAGTAAGGTCTTTTGCAAAAACAAAACGTGAATCCTCAAGTCTTCCTCGTAGCCTTGCCTGGAGATACCTGGGAGTGACCATCAGGTCGTTCAGGTCAAGTCCTTTCATTGATATCACAAACTCCTCACGGGCTTTTAAGCACGGAATTCAGGTTGCCTAGGTTTCTAATTAGTGCTCAAGAGGGAAACTATGGTCTGCGGGACAGGGCCCGGCTCCGGGAAGGGCTGGAGAGGCAGAGCGCCGGGGTCACGGTGATAGCGCCGGCCGGAAGCCTCGAGGAGACCGGTTACTTATCAGGGCTGTCCGTTTTAAACGTCGTTACTAAGGACCTTGCTGACTTCACCAAAGTGATTACCGATAGTTACTTCTGCAAAACGACCGTATGTGCCAAATAGAGTGCGCTTGACCTGGATCCGAGCCGTCCCGCTGCCACGGCAGAAGCCAACAAGTTCACTTCTGGCGCCGCTTCTGACTTCCTGGGCGAGGCCGGAAGTAGCTTTCCGGCCGCCAGAGCCGCAGAGCGTAAAACAAGATGGCAGCACTCCGACTAAAGCGATTGTCCAATCTTCGTTTTATTTCTACCACCTCCATACCCACAAGGGACTCCGAACTTCCATAACCAGATCTAATTTTTCTCACCACAACACGTTCATATTTCAGTATCATTAATCTGGGGGTGGAAGATGGGTTGGAGGCAGCTCCAGGCAGCGACCATGAGTACCATGGGGCATCATTTTGTACGGAAACCGGAAACCAAACGCCGGGCAGGGACGAGGTACGGAAATCCAGACGTGGCCCGGCTGGCCAGTAGAGTGTGGGGGGAGGGGCGAAAGGGCTGGAGGGCGTTGTTAGCACATGATGTATTTCCGCTTCCTCTCGGCCCAGTAGCTTTTGGTTGTACTAGCTAGCTTGTTGCGGGGAGGGAGGGGGAAGATTGTTTGCAGTGAAGGAGCTCAGTGTACGGGAAGGTAAACTAAGGTAAGGTTCTGTGTCTGGGGCCCGGGGCTTTGCGTCCGGTTGTGTAGGAGGTCTGGGGGCAGGGTCTTCGGGACTGAGGAAGATTGTGGGGTTGGAGCCTGGAGGCTCGTATTGTCCGCCTGTTTGGAGAGAGGAGGGGGGGCGGGGCTGGGGGTTACTAGGTGAATTGCAAAGCCCGGCGGGTGTGGAGTGAGGGAGGGCGGAAGAAAAGGGAGGATGGAGGAGATGGGGAGATATCCGAAGGAAGTCTGGAAAGCGCAGTTCGGGAGGGGCTGGGCGAGCGGAGCTGGGACGCGGGAGGTGTAGGATCTCAAGTCCTTGAGGGCTGAGGAAAGTACTCGCGGTGGGGGCTGGTCAGAATAGCGGGGTGTGAAAGGAAGAGAGTGAAGTTCTTGGGAGGCTGAGGGGTTGGAAGGGGCTGGTGGCCTGTGTTCTGATGCTGCCCCTGTACTTGGCCTTTGTTTCCCTTGCAGCTCCCCAGAGACTGTCATCCCGCAGCCTCCGTTCGGGCCCAGCCTTCTCTCTCCAGTTGCCACCACAGCCTGGAGGCGCCTGCCTCCGCCCTCCCGAATGGTGCTACTCCTCGAAGGCCTCGGCCCAGGATCCAAACCCCCTTTGCCCCCTGCCTCGGAGCGGTTGCTCCGGGTTTCTCCTGGTGGACTCCTCGCGACGGGGACGGAAGAACTTTTGCACCGACAAGGCTGTAGCTTTAGGAACCCCGCTGACAACGTGAATCTTGGCCTCTAACCCAGTGTGAGGTCATTCCCGTGTCCCTTTTTACACCCTTTGAGAAGAGAAACTCTTCTTGTTACCTGGAGCCCGGGAAGCCCCAAGCTGGGGCCCTGGTCCCACCATGTCAGTCCTCTCTTGTGCATAGGGCTGTGCCCTCTCCCCATTAGCATGGCTGAATTCAGGCAGGTTCCAGGGGGGCGGGAGACCCCGCAGGGGGAACTTCGGTCTGAGGTTGTAGAGGATGAAGTCCCTCGGAGCCCGGTCGCAGAGGAGCCGGGAAGAGGTGGAAACAACAGCAGTGAGACCAAATTGTCTCCAAGAGAGGAGGAAGAACTGGATCCTCGAATACAGGTGAGAAAACTAAAGGGAAAGGAGAGACAGGGAGCCCAGATTCCAGTTTTCCTGAAGAGCTGTCTGATAAATGAGGGATTAGATTTATTCTCTCCCCAGTGCGCTGGGGCAGGAAAGGAAAACAAGTTTGTCAGCAAATCACTGCAGGATAGTGTGACAAGTTCTAAAAGAGCTGTGTGTGGAGTGCAGAGAAAGGCCTGGGCCTGAGTGCCTGGGGTGTGCTGCTGAAGGCTTAACTGACAAAGGGAAGCAACAAATTGGCCTCAGATGCAGGGCCTCATTTCGGTCAGTGGAGAGTAAAACTATTCTTCTTTCTAAATAAGTAAAGTGGCTGTTGGCCCAGAGATGCGGTATGAGTGGGAGGCACTTTTGAATCTTCTCTTTTGTCATCGTCTCATTAGTGCCTCCCAGGGATGTTCACATCTGTAAAGGGTGAGACATTTCATGTTTTACAACGCCTCACCAGATGGAGGCCTGTAAGGAAATCTGATGTGTTTATGGAGTTGTATCAGCCATGGTCCGTCCTTAATACGGATTCCGAGTTCTGAGGATGCTGGTTATACCAAATGAATGGAAAAGCTGACTTATTGCCTTGGAGTGTTTACAGGCTAGTAGTTGGTAGGATGGGCAGATCTTTGTGAAGGAGCAGTGGGTGAGGACAGAGACCATGGGGAGGAGATGCATGGTCGGCTGAGGTGGGATTGTAGTGTTTACGTGCATTGGCTGGGAAGGGTTCCCTGGGAAAGCAGCTTGGGTGGGTGAGGGCAGGAAGTGCTTGTGTGTTTGGGGCTCAGTCTGCCATAAGGTCTCATAGCATCTCCAAGATTCTGATGTGGAGGTGACTCACACCTCTGTAGGTGAGCAAGAACATCTTAGGGCTTGCATTCCTGGGCTTCTCTGTCAACAAACCTTTATTAGATTGCTTCAGTGAGTCAAGAAGAAATCAAATCTGGTCCTCACATCCTTCCTGCCCTCTTGGTGGGGGTTCCCTGGATGTTGGGCAGAGGAACTCCATGCTTATATGGGAGATGCAGTGAGCCATTCATCTACTGGCATGAGTCAGTAATTTATTTCCACCCTATCTCATGGGTGTTGCATTGAAAACAGCTCAATTTCTTCTGCTAATTTTACAGATTTGTCATCTACTGAGGAAGTAAGTTATAGTGAAAAACACATTGGCCTGAGATTGAAACAACCTCCAGCCTCATGATTTGTGATTTTCATGCAAGTTATGTAATGTCTAAGCCTCACTAACTTCATCTATAAAGTGAGGGGTTGGTGCAGTTTATTTGCACAACTGCTCACTCTGCTCTGACATAGTCCTATGATTCTTTTCTGTTACAACTCTTTTGCTTATCTCTTGGTGAAAGTTTGGAGGTAGTATTTTGGGAAACAGACCCCTGTCTGTTCTGTTGGGAGGAGGACTGTATGGTGTGCTTCATACACCTTCTCCCAACATTCCTTGCTCTGCTCCAGGGGAGGATCTACTGTGGTTTCTTTGCTCAGTCTCTCCTGCTCCTGTGTATTTTTCCAGCACCCACACAGGCAAAGGCGGTAGTACGAAGAGTCATTCTCATGTTTTGCTGTTCACTAAAGTAGCTATTAGCCACACGTGGTTACTTAAGTAAAATCAGTTAAAATTAAATAAAAATGCAGTTCCCCAGCTGCTGTTGGTATTGTAGAAGTAGAACATAGTTCTATTAGAAGAGCTCTGTGAGGGTTGAAGAATATCAAGCAGGCCTAGATTTGCCTTAATTCCAGGGAGCTTGCAGTGTTGTTAATTGGAGCAAGAGGGACAGGCAGATCATAATCTCTCTTGCTAAACTGGGAGGCACATTGTGGAATGGTGTGGGTAATGTGGGGAGGAAAGGTCTTGTTGTAGAGGCTTCCCCCTTTTATGGCACACTGATGGCTGGGCCAGTACTCTGCCCTTAGCAGGGATTCTGCATCTTCTTGCCATGTGGAAGAGGCAGCCTGATGTGAGGGGTACCCTTCAGGGAGGAAGCTGGCAGCATTCAGCCTTTCTGGGTTTGGTCTCCTCTAGATAAGAAAGAGATTGCTGTGTGTCTTTTGAGGTGCCTCTTATTGGGACCTCTCTCTCATAACACAAGACCATGTTATCCTGGTAACTCTGTTTCAGTGCTTTAAATGGATTCTCAGTGCATTCTGTGATTCTCTGCCAACAGATGCATCTTAATCCACCAGCGAATTTTAAAAATACCTGTTCTTGGGGCACCTGGGTGGCTCAGTCTGTTGAGCGTCCAACTCTTGATTTTGGCTTAGGTCATGATTCTAGGGTTGTGAGATTGAATCCTGCATCAGGCTCTGTCCTGTGAGCCTACTTAAGATATTCTCTCTCTCTCTCTCTCTCTCTCTCTCTCTCTCTCTCTCTTTCTGCCCCCTCCCTCATTCGTGCACGTGTGCATGTGTTGTCTCTCTCTGTCTCTAAAAATAAAAATAAAATATAAAACAAAAAATAAAGCAAAATAAAATAAAAATACCTGTTCCTGAGCCATGTCCAGACATGTGAATTCTGGTCTCATTGGGGGTGAGAAATGGTTCTAACATGTAGTCTACATGTGCCCACTCAGCCAGGGATATCCCAAAGGCTAGGGACTCTGTTCAGGTATTTTCTGGGATTCCCAGAAATGGTTGCCCTTAGGAGAAGGCTCTTACTGATACGGGAAATGGGGTTTCTTGGCAGGCAGTTCATGTCCGCATTGTCTGGTGGGATACCTCTGGAATTTGGAGGCAAGCCAGCTGGAGATCACCTCTAGGCTGACCTGGAGTGTGCTATCACCCAGGGAAGGCCACTGTCTTAGTCTCCATGTCTTGAGGTCAGCATAGTTCTCTGAGGCTTTCTGGCTCGTCCTCAGCTTTCTGAGAGAGGGTCCCAGTGGAGGGAAGGAGTGAAGGAGGATGGTGCTAGGGTGGGCCTAGGTCTCCTCCCCTGTGACTTCTCAGTTCCCTTTGTGATGATGGGTACATTCATCTTCAGGTGAGTGGATACAGTCACTCATCTCCTCCTTTGACTCTTCAGAGTGACTTTGCAACCTCTTCATCCTCATCTGAAGTATCCGTTTAGCTCTCACAGGATAATCATATTTCCCTTACTTAGTCCTTGAGCCATGCATCACCCTGGCCCTGCATCACCATGAGCTTGTGTGTTTTAGTAGCCTGTAAAAGGTGAGCAGGCACATCTGTAGATGGAGCACCCATGCCTTTGAATCAGTGGCCTGGCATCCTGGGAATGTGCCTGCCATGTCTGGGGAAGGTCACCCCTGCTGGCTGTGGGATCACTGATGGATGATGCCTGCTGACTCAGACTTCATTCTATTCAAATTTCCATTTCAGCCAGGTGCCAAGAGTCCCTGGTGGAGCAGGCCAAATGTACTATGTTGCCAACTTCCCAAAACAGAGCCCTGAGTGCTCATTGGCTTCCCGCTTAGCCTTGCCCTGGGTCTGCCTCAGCCTGCTTGTCCCCCACCTCCCCCGACCCCCTTGCTCACCTACCATCTATCCTATTCTGGTCCCCAGTCTCCTTGTCCTGTTAGAGCTTTGTGACTGAGGGGCAGACCTCATCATCGAAAGACTTTTTTAATTGCTGGAAATGTTGTGTGGATGCAAGTTCCCTTCTAGAAAGATGTGCCTACTCCTGCTGTTTGCCAACAGTCAGAGCCCTTTACGTACTTTTTCCGGTGGGGATGACTTATGTAGAGAGGCATTCATTCCTGTGATGATCTTGTTGATCTTAATGATCTGGGAGCACTTTGGGCCGTGGAACTGAGTGGGATCCAGTCTTGGACCTTGGTTTGCCCATGGGAATGTTGCAGGCTGGCCTTTACCCACCTCCTTCTGTTTTCCAGAATCAGTTTATTGCCTCCTGAGGCATATCCTTTTCCCACCAGAAATGTGTTTTTTTTAGTTTGATGGTACTCCTGTCTTCTCTGAGGCATCCATCTGAAGATGTCCTTAACCCTAGGATGGTGGTCACAGTATCAGGAAAACCAGATCCAAGGTTAGGTCCCTGATCCATTTTCAATTCTGCCTCTAATTCCCTACTCCATTGTTTCTTATCTAGCAAATTTGAACAAGTTGAGAAAGAGAATATTCTGGCAAGAGCTGCGAAAGCACTGTCACTTCATCTCCCAGATAGTCTGAAACCCATTGTGGGCCTAAAAAAGCTAGAGGAAGACTAGGCCCACGGTGGGAGAGGTTGTCTCTCACCCTAACAGGAATTGCCTTTTGTGAGAGCCCTTGGGGTGATTCTGTCCACTGAAGGCTATGTCCTTGTTAGGAAGGCACTGTGAAACCCTGATCTCTGTGTGTCAGGTAGTGCTGGCTCTGGCCCCAGGCCTCTTGTGGGCTCCTGTGAGCCATGTCAGCTGCTTATGGTTCCACAGTGTTTTGTTGTAACCTTATGGACACTGGGTTGTGTGAGTAATCAGGTTGCTCATGTGCACCAACGTCCAGGCCCACAATGTCCAATGTGGGAGTCACATGCTGCTGGACAAATTGAGATGTACCCTAAGGGTCAGATGCACGAGGATTTCAAGGGCATAGATTAAAAAGAATGTAAAAGTGTTTTATAATTTATGTTGAAAACATATTACAATTATAATATTTTGTCTACATTGAGTTAAATGGAATGTATTATAATTTAATCTGTTTGCTTTTGCATTTTTTAAAGTTTATTCACCTTAGAGAGAGAGGGAGGGGCAGAGAGAGGGCAGAGACAGAAACTCCTAAGCTGGCTCTACACTGTCGGCACAGAGCTGGATGCGGGGCTTGAGTTCATGAATCGTGAGATCATGACCTGAGCTGAAATGAAGAGTTGGACACTTAACCAACTGAGCCACCCAGGCGCCCCTCTTTTGCATTTTTTTAAAAACATGGTTGCCAGAATACTAAAAATTCAATGTCAGGCCCATGTCAGTTCTGCTCTGTAAAGTTTAGAGCCAAATTTATGGCCTCCTTTGAGGAAGTGTCTGCATTGTTGTAGGTATGTGTATTTTCATGAGGTATGTGAGAGCTAGTGATGGCAGCATTGCTCTCTGCCAAGTGCAGGTTATGTCTGGGTCATGGGCAGCAGGCAGACACAGCCTGGGTTCCACTATCCTGTCCAGGGTCTGCAGGGCTCCTGGGAGAGGATTCCATAGCTGAGTGTCAGGCATTTCACTGGGCATTGATCCTTCTCAGGAGTGTCCTTGGCATGCTGGGCTCCAGGAACTTGACTGAGAAAGGACAGGGAGCATACTTGAGACCAGCACTTCTCCCTACTCTCTGCCATGTCAGTGAAAGGCCCAGGTGGTTCTGTTGCTTCTTTCTCTAGCCTTGGGGCCAGTGAGATCCTTTAAAAAAAAAAATTTTTTTTTTTAATGTTTATTTACTTTTGACAGAGAGAGAGAGAGCATGAGCAGGGGAGGGGCAGAGAGAGAGGGAGACACAGAATCTGAAGCAGGTTCCAGGCTTCAAGCTGTCAGCACAGAGTCCGACGTGGGGCTTGAACTCACAGACTGCAAGATAATGATCTGAGCCGAAGTCAGACGCTCAACCGACTGAGCCACCCAGGTGCACCAAGGGCCAGTGAGATCCTTATGCTACCATGTCTGGTGACTTGTCCCCAGTGTTCTCCTTCCCTGCCACAGAATCTGTTGTGTGAGGACCTGGGGTCTCTGTCAGTCAACTGCTCAAGCAGGCCTAGAGGTCTCTTGAACCATGGAATCTTCCCTAATCTTGACCTCAACCAGACCCTCATGATTCTGCTTCCTGCATTTCTTTGGGATCGCCCTGTCCTCTCCCACCTGGAATACTGCAGACAGCCTCCACTTTTTTCTCCCTGGCCACTGTAAACTTTCCACATACTGCTCAGACCCACCTTCCTAAACCACAGACTGGGTGGTGCCAGGCTCTAAGGGTCTCCCCCTGCCATTGGGAAAAGTTCTGGTATCCTTTCTCCTGTATGTACCCCAGCCTTGCTGGCTTCTCACCTGACAAGCTGCCTGCTCTGGGCACCTGCTTGTCACTGGTGCTTTTCTGTGTATCTGTCAAGGCCCAGCCTAGGAGCAAGTCCTCAGGGTGTCTTGCCTGGCCTTTCCTGCCCTGGTAGGTGATCCTGCTGCTCCCACCAGGCCTGCTTCTTACAGTTCCTTGTACCACTTTTTTCTTACTGAGTCCGGAGCTTCTGCCTCTTTGTTTTCTGAATTCTTGGGTGTCATGGTGCTGAGCTGTGATAAGTGTGTAGTAAATGTGTAGTGAGTGACTGGCCTAGTGTTCCTCTCTCAGGAACACAGACTGTTAGCTCCAAGGCAACTTCTATTGGCTGGAATTTCGGAGAGAAGGTGGTCACATGTTCTAATGAAGAGAGGGCAGGCTTGCTGCCACTTTGCTGTGTGCATGTGTGTGTTCTATTCTCTGAATGGTGATTTCCTCATCTTTAAAAAGGGGGTTTTACTGTCTGATACAGAGGTGGAGTTGTGAGGATTACAGGAGACTGTATATTAGGTCTCCTGCACGGAGGCATTTGACAGTGCCCTTTTCCTCCATTTCTTCCCTTCCTTAACCAGGCAGACTTTCCCTCCCACCCCACATGGTTCCTGTAAGAGGCTACTTTTTCCCACTGCTCTAACTCTTTGCCCCTCTTTGGCAGGAGGAGCTAGAGCATCTCAACCAGGCCAGTGAGGAGATCAACCAGGTGGAGCTGCAGCTGGATGTGAGTGTTGATCTTTTTCTTCACACCCTTGGGCTAGTCTCTGGAGGTGTCTTCTTTTCTCCCTGTTCAATACAGTGGCAGGGGAAGGGGCATGTATGAAAAACGAGAGGGGCTGGGACCCACACATGTGCCTTCCTTCTGCCCATGTCCCTGTCCCTTTGCCAGGAGGCCAGGACCACCTACCGAAGGATCTTGCAGGAGTCAGCAAGGAAGCTCAACACACAGGGCTCCCACTTGGGGAGCTGCATCGAGAAGGCCCGGCCCTACTATGAGGCTCGGCGGCTTGCTAAGGAGGTATGGCTAGCTGATGCACGTTCCAGGAGGGGCGCATACAGAGCCTGGCCCTGGACTCTTCCAGTCACACAGAACACTTTCTGGTTTCTCTTATTTCTCTTCCCTTTGGTTCATGTCTCTTTTCTTTGCTCACCTCTCCATTCCTTTACCCTTTTCCTTCCCCCCCTTTTTTACACAAGTAATGGGTTCAGTATTGGAAGATTCTAATGTAACAGTAACTATAAAAGGAGAAGAAAACCAAAATCACTCCAAATCCTGCCATGTGCCTGTTTCACATTTTTTGCATCTAGAATTTATTTTAGTCAAGTATGGTAAGACACAGACACAGAGACAGCTGCCATGAAAAGAGAGTTTATTACTTAAAATTTCCAAGAAGAAAGAGCATGCCGCACCACCTAGGGCCACCTGGGGAAGCACTTGGGTTGATCAGGAGGCGGAAGACATGAGAGGAAAACTTGGCTCAGAGCCTTTATTGCGGTTATGATAGGAAGGAATGGGTAAGGCAGGGTAGGCAACTTTTAATAATTTTTCTTTTTTTTTTCTTAACGTTTATTTATTTTTGGGACAGAGAGAGACAGAGCATGAACGGGGGAGGGGCAGAGAGAGAGGGAGACACAGAATCGGAAACAGGCTCCAGGCTCTGAGCCATCAGCCCAGAGCCCGACGCGGCGCTCGAACTCACTGACCGTGAGATTGTGACCTGGCTGAAGTCGGAAGCTTAACCGACTGCGCCACCCAGGCGCCCCTAGGCAACTTTGATGGAATTTAGAGTTAGATAGCTTGAATAACTGTGGGCCCTGGGCTATAGGGGTGGTTTCTATATTTTGGTACCTGGCCCTGGGTTAATGTAGGGCAGAGGAAATAATTGGCTTTGTGTGTGAGAGTTAGATAAAGGAGGTGGTGGGCTTTGGATTGGTTGGTTTGCATTTGAAAAGTATGCTCACAGAGGAGTTTAGTGTCTCTAGGAATTAGCCCTAGGAAAACCCCAGGATGTGAAAGCATCATAAAATAGTGAAAATAAAAAATGTAATTAATACAATACAGATAACCCCTTGATTTTTGGGTGTGTGTATATCCTGCCAAAATGAGATTTATGATTCGTGCTATTTTTCTTCCTTTATTTTACTTATTTACATATTTCCATGTCAATAAATATACATCCATGCTATCATTTTTAAAAGCTGCTTAACATTTCCTCATATTATTATTGTTATTAATGTTCTATTATACACTTAATCACTTCCCTATAATTGAAAACTTAGGTTTGTTTCCAGTTTCATGTTTGGTAAGCATGGGTGTAATGAGTATCTCAGAACACTTGTCTTATTTCCTTCAGCTTACAGGCTGGACTGGAGGTGATGGTCTCAGGGGTGTACTCTCTGTGAGACTTGGTCCAAGTCATTCACCACCTTCAAACTAAAGTGGGGTGGATCTTTCTTTGTTCTCCCTAGAGCACAGGCCAGTGGCCTTTGCGAGTGCTGGGTTTCACACATTCACCCTGCAGTGGCAGTATCATTTTCCAGTCCTTTTTTTTTTTTAAGTTTATTTTTTTATTTTTGAGAGAGAACACAAGTGGGAGAGGGGCAGAGAGGGAGAGGAAGACACAGAATCCAAAGCAGGCTGACCTGTCAGTGCAGAGCCCAATGTGGGGCTCAAACCCATAAACCGTGAGATCATGACCCAAGCCCAAGTTGGACATTTAACCAACTGAGCCACCAGGCTCCCCATCCAGTCTTTATTTCTGCATTTATTTCTTTTGAGCCATATCCTTATAAGATAGTCTTTATGGAATGTTGCTTCTTTGGAATTTATCCTTAGTGCAGTTTGGGAAGTGAAGCTGATATTGCACTGGGCCTTCCTCCTCTTGTCCTCATCCAGGATGGGTCTCCATGGGCGGTGGGGGTCCCTTGGGGCTCCCCATCCTGATGGTCCCGTCTTCCAGGCCCAGCAAGAGACACAGAAGGCAGCGCTGCGGTATGAGCGGGCCGTGAGCATGCACAATGCTGCCCGGGAGATGGTGTTTGTGGCTGAGCAGGGTGTCATGGCTGACAAGAACCGGCTGGACCCCACATGGCAGGAGATGCTCAACCATGCCACCTGCAAGGTGAGCCAGGTCTCCTCCGGTTCTGGTACTTCTTTGGCTATTCTTTCATCCCATCTCCCTCTTTCTTCCTTTCTTCTACCCTCCAGCCCTCCCTTAGCTTTGATTATGTTTCAGGCAAAACCTTTTCCTTCCTCTCTGCCCTTTTTGGCCTCCATTTACATTTCCTTCTGACTTAAGAATGTCTCTCTGGGCTCTTCTTGAACCTTTGCATCCAGATATGGGACTGACCCTCAGTTGATCCACCCCCTGGATTCTCAAGATTCAACACTCACATTTTGTTACGTTTAGCTGTGACCCCTCACTTCTATGTTCAGAATGTTCTCCTTTTCTTACTTTTGGGCTCTGCTAGTGTACCGTGATTTTTGAAGTGTAATTTATATATCATTTCTAAGCTACTCCCAGGGGACTAGGGAGTGGGAAGATCCCTAGCATCAGCTCCAGTCCACTGGGGCTGTTACAACAAAATAACATAGACTAGGTGGCTTAAGCAAGTTTATTTCTCACATGTATGTATCATTTCTAAGCTACTCTCGCATGTATGTATCATTTCTAAGCTACTCCCAGAAGACTGGGGAGTGGGAGGATCCCTGGCATCAGCTCCAGTCCACTGGGGCTGTTAAATACAAAATAACATAGACTGAGTGGCTTAAGCAAGTTTATTTCTCACAGCTCTGCAGGTTAGGAAGATCAGGTGCAGGCAGATTTGGTACCAGGTGAAGGCCTGCTTCCTGGTTCCTAGACAGCTGGCAGTCTTTTCACTGTGACCTTGCGAGGTGGAAGGAGTGAGTGAAAGCTCTCCAGGAACTCTTTTGTGAGGACACTAATCCCATTTATTTATTTTTTGAGTTCTCCCACCTGTATAACCTAATCACCTCCAATACCATCACCTTAGGGGTGAGGATTGCAACATGAATTTTTTGGAGAGGAGGAGAGAGATAAACATTTAGTCTCTAGCAGCAGATGTCAGATCCTGAAGGATGGTCATGTCTTGAGAGACAAGAACATGGGTCCTGGGTCAGTGATGTATGTCCTGGTGAATGTATGGCCAGGTGAATGAGGCAGAGGAGGAGCGGCTTCGTGGTGAGCGGGAACATCAGCGGGTGACTCGGCTGTGCCAGCAGGCTGAAGCTCGGGTCCAGGCCCTGCAGAAGACTCTCCGGCGGGCCATTGGCAAGAGCCGCCCCTACTTTGAGCTCAAGGCCCAGTTCAGCCAGATTCTGGAGGTAAGGCAGTGGGGGTGGGGGAGAGTGTGTGACTAGGCAGGAAGGGGGTAGGCATGGAGAGTGAGGGCAGTTAGAGGGGATGCCAGTGCCTCTCTGGTCCATCTGACAGACCAGTGTGGTGGCCCAGGTGGAGGTACATATGCTAAGAATGATATCTAGGAGTGGGAGTTGGGCTTGGGGAATGGGTCCTGGTAGAGAATGGAGTTAAAAGGAAGTAAATGAGAAAAAGTGGGAATCAGGGGAAACCAGGGAGAATGGGGATGAGGAACTGGCCAGATAGGGAAAGGGAACCATGGGGAGAGGAGGAGTGGGTGGGGATGAAGACTTGGGAGGAAGGTCTTGTAAGGCCAAGAGCAGGGTGATACTGCTGGGAAAGAGGAAGAAGAGAAGAGTGAAGAGGGGCTAGGCTGGGTGGGGTGGAGCACTGCAGGTTTGTGTTGGATGGTGAGCTGGCCTAAGAGTCCAGGAAAGGAGGCACCAGTGGAAAGTGCTGAGTGGAGCTGAAGGGACTCCGCTCCAGGAGCCACGGACAGTTGGCCAGTCGGTCACCTCACTTTGTTCCTCCCTCTGCAGGAGCACAAGGCCAAGGTGACAGAGCTGGAGCAACAGGTGGCCCAGGCCAAGACTCGCTATTCAGTTGCCCTGCGCAACCTGGAGCAGATCAGCGAGCAGATCCATGCCCGGCGCCGGGGCCAGCCCCCTCATGCCCCTGGCCAGCGGCGCTCCTCCCCTGTGGGGGCAGAGGCCGGGCCTGATGGTGGCGAGGATGGAGACAGTGGTATCATAGAAGGGGCTGAAGGCGGGGTGCTGGAGGAGGGCAGTAGCCTGGGGCCTGGCCCTGCCCCTGACACAGACACACTGAGCCTGCTGAGCCTACGCACAGTGGCCTCAGACCTGCAGAAGTGTGACTCTGTGGAGCACCTGCGGGGCCTCTCAGACCACACCAGTCTGGATGGCCAGGAGCTGGGTTCCCGGAGTGGGGGGCGCTGGGGCAGTGATGGCGGGGGCCGTGGGGGTCGCCACCAGCGCAGCATCAGCCTGTAGTTCATGCTCAGGGTGGCTGGTTCCTACCACCATTGGCCCATGTAGGGCTCCAAGCTCCCTGTCCTCAGGTCCTTGCTTCCCTTGGAGAGGTCAGGTTGGCTCTTGTCTCTGGTGAATTTCTCTCCCTCCTCCCCCAGTTCTTTGCAGGTGGCAGCTCTCTTTGCCTTACCCCTTCAGAAGGCTTTTTCTATGGCTCTCACATTTGCCCTCCCCCTGCTAGCTCCTCTTGGTCTGATGTCCTTCACTGCCCCCTTTCTGCTTTCCTTCCATCTGTCTGGCTTTCCCCTCAGGGAACTTGGTCTAGAAGGTACAGGGTAGCCCACTGGAGAAGGTGGATGTGGGACCTGAGTTTTGACATCTTGGCCCCCTGGTTTGAGGCAATAGACAGGTGTCCCTCTCACCTCCCCATCTCCCAAGGGGGCCTAGGGATGCTACAGAGCCTCTGTCCTAGCCTGCCTGTATGTAATCTGTAAAATGCACTGTAGGACTGTGTGCCTCTGGAAAACACTACACAACCCTGCAGTGCTCCCTTCTCATTACTTAAGCCACTTTGCTGTGTGTGCCACAAAGAAGGACTTGAAGGGTACCAGTGTCAGAGAAGGTGAAACCCAACCCCACTGTCCACATAGAGGACACCACCTCCAGACAGGCTCCCATGTGCATGTTGTTTCCCCAGCTGAGCTGGGCCATTAACATTGCCAAGGTGCTAGTGGGTCTCTAGCAGGGTCCATGTTGGGGGGTGGAGACATAATGAGGTCCTGATGGTTGAGGCCTTCGCGGTTCCTGCTGCAGAGTTGGGTTTACTTTTTCTGGGTGGAGGTCACTGAGCTTAATCTCAGCGCCCTCCTGCTGGGTGGAGTTAGGGAATTTGGTGCTCAATCCCTCTCCCTCTCTCTTCCCCAAACCAGACAATACCTACTCCAGAATCCCTTGGGGACTGTTCAGGTTTGGCTACTGAGCCTTCTCTGATGCAGGGAGGGGTTGCCCTAGGGTGAAGGGACCCACCCTCCTTTGGGAGGGGTTTGGTGGTGCTCCAGGCTGTAAGGGAGGAAAAGCAGGGAAGCCACACTGGATCGGGGTGCCTTGGGAGAACTGGTCCTTCCTCCTTTCCCACCCTAAGAGGTCTGAGAGCTGGACTCTGGGCAGGATAGCTTGTGCCTAGGCCTGTATGCTGCTGCCATCAACTGGGAGGAGTGGGCCATCATATGGAGGGCCTGTGCTAAGATGGTCACTATGAGAACCACTGGGTTTGAGGTGGCCATGGGTAGAGGGGAGAAAGGGAGGGAGGACGTGGGCAAGTGTGTGTGCATGTGTTGGGGTGTGTGTGTGTGTGCGAGAGTGAGTGTGAGAGAGAAAGAAAAGGGTCTGCCCCTGATTTTATTTAAATAAAATAGTTTATGTAACAGTAATGTTTATTCTTCCTGTCAGGGAGGGGAAGGGCGTGAGGATGGGGAGGGGGGAAGAGCAGGGCAAAGGGGGGGGTGCTTTTTGTATGGGGGAGTCAGGGCAGGGGAGATGCCCCCCCTTCCTCCCACCTGCCAAGCTAGGAAGGGTCTGTGGGGTGGACAGGACATTGTCAATCACTGGAGGTCCAGACCAGATGAGGGTGCCAATCCTGGATGTGTCTGGATGTGAGCATGAAGGAAGGGGAGGGACAAAAGTGGGGTTCTGAGAGAACAGAACAAAAGTTCAAGACTGAGAGACTTGAATTTCAGATAGACCATAATCTTTTCCTCCTGCAATGTTTATGACATTCTTAGTGTAACTTTTTTGCTGTTTATCTGAAATTAAAATTTAACACATGTAAAAGGTGATGTTCAAGTCAGGGTTTGACCTGTTGTGGGATAGAAAGGATTTGAATGTGTTTGGACCCCACAGCCTGTGAAATATCTAGTGGAGTCAGGTTGGGGAGGGATGAGGACTTCAGGAGCCACGGAGGTGTAGAGCGAAAGCTTTGGATTCAGCACCCTCACCTGCACCACCAGAAGTGTGCCAACATTTAAGGGCCAGGTGAGGAGGAGGTCAGCCAGGAGATGGAGAAGGCTCTGCTAGGGAGGAGAGCAGGAGGTCAACTGGAAACCTGATGGGAAATGAGTGTCCTGAAGACACTTGAGGGGCAGGGTGGAGGGCAGAGCAGTGACCCTGGTGATCTCAGATGGCAGATGGGCCATCAGGAGCCACTGTGTTCTGAACATACCAGGTACTGTCCACGTATGAGACTGCCTTTCCTAACTTGGCTTTTTGACAGCAAATTAATTTTTTTCTCACAGTTCCAGAGGAAGTCAGGTCAAGCTATTGGTAGGATTAGTTCCTTCTGAGGGTTGTAAGAGAAGGATCTGTTCCAGGTCTCTCTCCTTGACTTGTAGACATCTGTCTTCTCCCAATGTCTTCACATCTTACCTGTGTACATGTCTGTGTTCAAATTCCTTTTGTAAAGGATACCAATCATATAGGATTTGGGTCTACTCAAATGACCTCGTTTTAACTTAATAACCATACAGTCACATTCTGGCTGGCTTACAACTGCAACATACACATTCTGAGAGAGAGATAAGTCAGTCACAAGCAACTCATCACTGTAAATGATGTAAAAGGTATCTGATCCTGTTCTTTCTGTCGTAACATCACTGGACTTACCTACCATTCTGCTTATTGGAATGCCCTTCAACCAACCTCTCTCCCTGGGAAGTAAAGTGTGATAAAGCAGATGAGTGCCAAGATATTCCCTTTATTACTGGAAGAGCTGCTATGAGAATGCATGGCCCATGTCTTTGGGCAAGTGGGCTTTCTGAGAGGACACCCCAGGGTCGTACTTCCCTCCCAGTCCTTGACAATGCAGGACCTGCAAGGCTTCTGGTGTGAAGGAGCCCCAGAAAAGAAGGGCTGACTGCCCACCCAGTTTACTCACAAAAACACCTACTAGATAAGGCAAGAGTGGAGAGCTAGTAGGAGGCTTAAAAGCTTATGGCACTTCCTCTGTATGGAAGAAAACAGCCCCAGCAAATAGGCCACCAACCCTATCTTAACAATAGTGCCTTGTACTTGCCTAGGGTGACTCATGTGCTAGGCATATGAATTTACCCATTTAATTTCCACAACAACATTATGAAGTAAGTAGCGCCATGATGACCTTTTCATGGGTGAGAATACAGGCATAGTAGGGATGTCCGGTTTGCCCCTCACCTTGTAGAAGGTAATGAAAGCAGGTATTTGGACTTGAGTGCAAACACAGGAACCAGATGTGAGAAAGTGGAGTGGGTGTAGTCATCTTTTAGGAAGTTTTACTGGGAAGGGGGGGTCAAGGAATTTAGCTGTTTTAAAATGAGCAAAAGATGGTCAAATTCAGGTGATGTATCTCATCTCCCCCATTCCTGTACCATGTCATGTCACCCATCACACTGAGTGGTAATTAGTTCTCTCGAGCTATGCCATCCCTGGGTGAGCAGCTGGGCCTCCATCTCCCCCGCACTTAATACATACCTGACACTTAATGTTCAGTAAATGCTTTTGTGTCTCCTCCCCATAGTCCAAACCTATGCCAAGTGACTTTGTTAGTACTGTGGTTAGGAGGTCAGCATCTATATCCACAGTCCTAGAATCATATCTCTATGTCTCCGGGAGGGTATTCTCACACTTCTCTAGGCTCCAATTTTATCACCTACAAAATGAGACAGTGTAGGTGTGCCTAACACTGTGCCAGGTCAGACAGGGTGTTAGCCACAATGATCCCTATTAGTTCCCTGCAGCTTTGAGATGAAATGAACTTTAAATTAGGAGGCCTCTTACTATCTAGTGCTAGAGAAGCAGACTTTTTATAAAGGCCCCAATGAGATTTGGATTTACCTCGTCCTCTGGTTGTGAGTTTGGTGGTCACCCTCAACTTTGCTCGCACGCATAGCTAAGATGGGCTTCTTGGGTTGTAGTCCTGTTTGGTCAGCAGAGGGCAGCAGCCACCAGAAAGCGGGCTGAGCGCAATCTGTTGGTTCTGGTTCTTTCGATGTGATAATACTGCAGGCCTGTGAGGTTTGCCTCCTCGACCCTTGGTGGGTGGTCCTGGGAACCTAGAGGGGTGGGAGGTGGGGTGTACGCAGCAGAGTGGAGCTCACCTGGGCTTCCTGCATTTCTGGTGTGCTTGAATCTCCTGTTGTATGTGAAAACTGGTTCAGGTCTGGTGGGCAGCTGGTCATTTGAGACCAGATGTTCTGTGCCTCTTGATGCCCTGTTCTCCTCCTCAGAACTCACCTCCTTCCTTGTCCTTCTTAGTGCCTTGTCCCTCTCTCTACTTCACCCTCCTTACATATTCCCCTCTTGAGAAGTCCCTTTGGCTTCCCTCCACCACCGCTCCTGAGCCCTTGGCTTCTTCTTTGTCTGCCATTCCAGAGCCCCAGGCTGCCACACTGCACCATACCTTGAATTAAGGGAGCCAGGGGACCATTTCACTGGCTGGCAAAAGGGTGTGTGGTGTATTAGATATTTAGCAAGATCTTTTAGAGTTGTAAACAATGTGGTAGGGCTTGCTAGGAACACCACAAGGTGTAATACCATGGATGGGAAAGTCAGGTAGCAAACACAGGTGCATACAGGTAACAGGTGATACAGGGAAGTAAACAAATAGATGTTTAAGAGGGCATTCAGGGAGCTCTGGAAGGTTAGGAAAGATAACAGAGGGCTTTGAGCAGGGAATTACTCTTTGAAGCTCTGGACCAGTCCCTGTCCTCAGGCTGGAGAAATGGTTTGGTGGGAGTACAAACTGGTGCAGCTACTCTGGAAAACAGTATGGAGGTTCCTCAAAAAATTAAAAAGCTATCCTATGACCCAGAAACTGCACTACTAGGTACTTATCCAAAGGATACAAAAATGGTGATTCGAAGAGGCACCTGCACCCCACTGTTTATAGCAGTGCTGTCAACAATAGTCAAATTATGGAAAGAACTCAAATATCCACTGTATATGTGTATACACACACACACACACACACACACACACACACACACACACACACTGGAATACTACTCGGCAATAAAAAAGAATGAAACCTTGCCATTTGCAACAATATGAATGGAACTAGAGTGTATTATACTAAGTAAAATAAGTCAGAAAGATATCATATGATTTAATCATTGTGGAATTTGAGGAACTCAACAGATGAGCATAGGGGAAGGGAAGGAAAAATAAGATAAAAACACAGGGGAGGC